TCCATGTGGTTTCCGCAAAAAGGAGCCCCATTTACCAAGTTCCTCGTCGGCTACAAGCCTGAGCACGGATCCACAGTTCCCACCCTGGGAAGCACTGTGCCCATTTAACTGTGCCCCGGGAGAGTTAAAGGCAGGACAACATGTATGTGCAGATGAGTGTAAATCCAGAGCAGACAAAGGCAGCTCCTCCTTGTGCAGGCCAAGCTTAGCAAGAAGTCCTGGCCCAGGACTCACAGCTGCTGCCTCACACTAGGGCAGCAGGGAGAAAACCCTAAAATGGAGGATGGGATGCTGCCTGGGAACCCACCATTGTCTCCAACAAAAGCAGATCAGCCACTTCAGAAACACCAAGTCCCCACAAAGGCTTAACAGGAAGAATAATAAAATGGTAACATGAAGCAGCCCCCAAAGGGAGCAGGCAGCCCGGGGCATGCAAAGGAGGCCGACGCAAGCAGGGAGCTCAGTCCTCCTTGGGCTCGGCCTCCTGGACCCGCGAGGTCCTCCTCGCCTCCCTCCCCCCAGGAGGCAGATCCAGCCGGAGCAGCTCCCTGCTCTCTCCCTGCCCCTGGCTCTTCCGCACCATGCCAGGCCTCGCTGCGTGGTGCTGACTGGCGCAGCCGCACGCCAGGCCCGCTGTCACGCTCCCCTCGGCGCGTGGGCCTTTCTTGGGACGGAGAGGACCTCTCGCAGGCGTTGCACCCTCTCGCACGACACTGTGTTACCTGCAACCAAGCTAGATGAGAGGCCAGCAGCAACACATCGACACCTGCAAGCTGGAAAGAGTACAGGGAGAGGAGGAGAAAGAAGAAAAAAAGGAAAAATATATTGCAACCTAGGGCCTGTCCCTCTAGTAACTACAGAAAAGCCTCACCAAGACTTTACTCTTCTGGAAAGTGACAGAGCGACAGGGCACTGCTCAGTAGCCGAAGTCCTAAAGGTAGGAGATCCTCAGAACCTCTCCTCCATGGCCTACGGGCTTAGTCCCAGGAGTGGTTTTTCTGCTCTGTCATTAGTGTGGAGCCTGGTCTTTTCCTTCAATCCCAAGAATTGCACTGAATTAGATCATCTTTCCCTGATCACCTCCCCCTACAGGCTGCTCCTGAGCATGCTCAGCTCGGCCTCGCGCTGCCATTTCATAACGGCATTGTTTACAGACACACACTGACCTGCCATCTTTTGACAGGAAAACAGAGGCTGGGATCCGCAGCCTGGGGCCTCAGGCAGCCCCGGCTGCTCCAGCCAGGCACGGAGCAGGGCTCCCGTTACAGCCAGGACACAGGCGCCGGCACCGCGGGTACGACGATCTCCACGTGGGGGAGAAAATGGCAGAGCCCGGGAATGAGCAGATTGTGACACTGTGGGGCCATGGAGTCTTTTTTTTTTTTTTTAATTTAGGCCAAAATCCACCTGCTCAAAAAATACCATGTAGCAGGAGCAAGTTAACCCTTTTGGGGGAGCAGGGGATGTGGGAAGGGAAGGCACCACAAGCCTCAATGAAAAAGTCAGCCATGATCTCAGCTTCTTCAAATCACCACTGTGCTTCGATGTCACCTAAAAATACAATCTGCAGCCCAGCCTGGCATCCTGTGTCAAGTCTTCCTCAGGAAAAGAGAGGGTTGGGAATATGGCATTTCTTTTGAATAAACAAGTTGGCTTCGTCCCAGAACATACAATTTTCTCCTTTAAATGCAAACCAGAGTATTTTTGCAGGCACACAGGGAAATGAGGAGAGGAGGAGGGGGAAAGTTCCTCATTTAACACCAAGAGCTCCATGCAAAGCCTTGCAAGGTGGCTCGGAGCCTCTCCATAGCCTGCTTCCCTTCCCTGCTTATCATCAGCAGCTTTGAGTTATGAAGGAGAGAAAATGCCAGAAGAGCTGCAGGTTTCCTCATCCTTGGAGCAAGAGCAATTTGTTCAGAAACCCTCCTTTGCGAGACGCTTTCTCCTGCTCAGACACAGCATGGCAGCACTACAGGCACCACGCTCACATGGCAGCTCCTCTTAACCCCACCAGCTCTGCCCTTCTCCACCATTTTTCCCTTTATCCCCCCTCCCCTTAGGAGGGAATTTGAAGAAAGAAAGAAAAAATTACCTGGTCTGGGGGAAGAAGACTTAGTTTGGATCCCAGAGTAATATATTAAAAAAATAAATAAAAGCTTGTGCTACATTATTTTTCCTAAGTTTTTTTTTTTTTTTAACACATTCCAATTAGCTTAAACAGTGTGCGAGCGGCTCTTGCTGCTCTCCCGACTAGTGTAAATCCTGGCACGCTGCACTGCGTGCTGCCCGTTTCCCCGTCACAACCAACCCAATGCAGCCATCGTGCAGCAAACCGAAACATCTCCTACTTCCCAGACCAGCCCCAAAGTGGCAGACCAAGGCGTTCAAACAGGCGGAGGGGAGGGGAGGAGGGAAGGAAAGGAGGAATCTGGAAGCGAATGAAGAGAGCAGGACACAAGGGTAGAGATCACATTACGACTTCCAGGTTCTCCTCGCCGAAGAGGGGTGGCTTTCAAATCTCTTAAAATTAAATTAAATTAACTCTGAAAATGGTAGTTAAGGGTAATAAATTCGAGATTTGCTTCTAGATAGCTGCCCCTGCAGAAATATAGGGTCCTTGAAGCCTCAAGAGCACTGACTGCACACGCTGCCAGAGCCCTGAGTCTTCAGCCCGAACCGAAAGGCAAGATAATTCCCTTGGTCCAGGGTGACAGCAGCCTCTGCAGCCATTCCTTGATCTCTCTAGGATCCAGGAAGAGGAAGAGAAGATTTTAAAGAGAAAAAAAAAAAAAGAAAAGAAAAGAAAGAGAGAGAGCAACAACAACAAAGAGAAAGCACCAGAAATCGAATCCTCCCTCCCCCAACATCCACACCAGCTGGCCATGATAGCAGCTCCTTACATGTCCTTGTTTACCTGAAGGCAACAGTTCCTGGCGCAGCATGAGCAAAGGCCCATGCTGGGCTCTGCCGGGGTGAGGGCAGCGCGGGCGCCCCCCACACCCCAGCAACACAAGACACGCTCCAATGCAGCCACGGGCGAAGCCACGAGCCCCAGCATCGCCCGTGCCTGGCCCCCAGCAAGGGCTTTGCTTGGGCACACGAGAAATTGCTTGGAAGGGCAGTGCAACAGCAGCGTCTTCTCACATGCCAGTGAGAGGCAAAGAAGAGTCTGCCCAGGCTACTGAATACTCAGGATTATTTTCAGTAGCCGACGGAGGCCCTCTGCACTGGAGTTGAAGTGAAATAAATGTCAGTTTAGCATGCAAAGGAAAAATAAAATAAAGATACTGCCCAAATGGAGGGCTATTAACCCTTGCTGAAAAGCAACTTTGAATTTCTAACCTTACACTTGCCTCTTCCCTCCAAAAAGTAGGTCAGGCTTTTCAGCTGCTTTGCAGAGGGATTTTCAGGCAGCAGCAGCGTTCCAGGCAGCACAAGCACCATCATGGTCACCATTGCGGCACAGGCAGTTGTTAGCACCCCAAAGCGTTGCCTTGGCATATTTTCGCTTGCTTGTTTGCCTACACTTTATCGAACTCCAAAAACATTTTTTTTTTCCTGGGCTGGAGCTCATCAGTCAACATTTCAAGGCCTCTGCTGTTCACTTTTAAAAAAAGAAAATTTATTTATCTCCTCAGGACTTCTTTTGATGCATCTGCCTTAAATATGCCTCTACTAGTTGACAAATAATGAGCACATTTATAGGCTCCCTGAGACGTGATAGATAATAATCAAACACAGACTGTCCTGTTAGTTCCCCTGCCTTTTAAAGGGTACTTCCACATTCCATTCGTCTTTTAAAAAATTAATATATTGGTATAAATGACCGTTTTTAGAGCTTTCCTCGAGCCTGGCAAGTGGCAGAGTCTAGGCCTGGGTTAGCAGCACCCAGAGGCCAGAGAGCCTTGCGAGACAAGAGTCGGGTCGCCGGAGCAGGCAACAGAGCTGCACGATACAGCACAGAAGAGCAACAGCAGCAGCAACACAGCAGGGCCAGGGCAGGAATTTAGGCAACCTTTAAAAAAAAAAGGGCTGTCATGGGCCTTCTGCCATGAAATCAACTACGGACATTTCATTTTCATCAGCTGCTCTCTTGGATTGCAGGCTGCTTAGAAAATAGATAAATAATCCCCTCAAAACAACAACAACAACCCCCCCCAAAAAAAAAAAAAAAAAAAACAAACCCAAAACCAAAAACGCCCACACCAAAAGCCACTACCTTCCCTCAAAAAGATGCTTTCTTCCTCATAGAATCAGGTTCACTCTTCCCTCCACCCTAAAAACTAAACTGCAGCCTTGCTTGACGTGAGCGAAGGCTGTCAAAATTGTTTCCAGCAAGCAGGTGAAATGTGTCCACAGGCCCTCTCCTTCCCTCTGAAAGTTCAGTCTTCAAACAGTTTAAAGACCCCAGGGTTTTTTCTTCTTGCTTAGAAAGGGAAGCAGGGAGCCTTCCAGGTAGAACCAAATATTCAAGAGACTTCATGCATTAAAAACAGAAAAAAAAGGAAAAAAAAAAAAAAAAAAAAACTCCAGACAAAACCTCCACACCCTCCCCAGCACAGAAGACAAATAAAAGACTGACTTAATGAGTGGAAATACAGCCCAAGCTGCCCCAGAGACAGGTAATTTCAGAGTCAGAACTAGGCACAAGTCCATTGAGCAAAACAAAGTAACACTAACAACAACACAAAAGATCAGAAAAGCCAAAGTCTAAAAAGCAACTGCGCCCATCCAGGTTATTTTGCAAATCACTCCTTCGAGAGACGCTCCAGCCCAGCAGCCTGCCTGCACACCGCTGCGCATCACCCCCACTTCTGCTGCGCGGCTCTCCCTCGCATAGGGCAAAAATAAAGAAAGAAATGCAGCCATGATTATCTGAACTGTCTTCCTCCTCTCTGAGGTTTCTCCTTTCCTACCTGACAACCGCCTGTCTGCGGCCACAACCTGAGGGAATCTGCTATTTAGGACATATGGAACATGGACACTACATGTTACTGTACCTGCAAACATCTGCGGTCCTCTTTGGATGAAGACTCCAAGAGTTGCATATTCCAGATCCTCATGAACAGTGATTCAGTTGCTGCTCATGTGATAAAAGCTCCCTCTACAGAGTGAGCATGCCCAGTGGAGACCATTTCACTGCTCCCTCCAAGCTGCAGCCATTTCACAGAGAACCTGCAGCTTAAGGGCTGCCATTGGAGCAACTATTCTCTAAGGCATCACGGGGAGACATGGGCCGCCCTGTGCAACGCACAGTTAATAAAGATAATCTGGCAACAGCCTGACCACATGCCAGGCCTAAAACTGATCACTAGCCTGCAAAAAAAGCCTTTTAAAACCATGCAATGATGTGTTCTGTTTCAGTGGCCTCCAAGAGTAGCCCTTGCCTACAGGAAAAGAAAAGGGGGAAGGAAAAGGGAGAGATGCTGCACAATAGCATTTAGGTTTGAGGGCACCCCTGTGCTAATTATATTTTGCCTATTAAAGCACCCAACCTTTGAATAGTGGGATAAATGCACACGGGTGAAACTGGTTAAGTGCAGAGTGTCCAACTGAAAGTGAGTTTGAGATCTGATATTCTGAGCTGAAGGGGTGCTCTTTTTCTACTTCAGGGATTTGTACTACAACATGACCTGATACAAGCAACCTTAAAAGTATATCGCAAATGCAATCATTAAAAAGGGGGGAAAAATAGCAATGAAGTGAGAACACATTACTAGGTGCAGTGGTTCTGAGCTCAGCCTATGTCAAACCATATGATACAGCTGTCCAGCCAGCAAAAGCAAAGAAGAAAATTTAGCTTCAAAATAAAAGTATTTTGTCTCTGTTCCACTTAACAATTAAGCACAACCTCTTGGCAGCCTTCATATGTGCTAAAGCGCCCAGTAAAACTGCCTGAGCAACTCGCAGGAACATCTGTAAGCAGAGCTCGGCTGGAATGGATTCAAATGCAGGGATGACATTTCTCACAATGCAAAAAGTCCGAGGGTTTCTCCATGTTTAATATTTCTCTGGAGAACCTCCCCTGGGAGAAGGGGGAGGGGAGCAGAGCCAGGAGAGAAGAGGCTGGTAAAGGAGGAAGTGGAAGTCTGCAATGGGCTGCAGTCCCACCCGCCTCGTCTTGACCAAAGCACAAACAACTCTCCCCAAAACAGGGACGGCTCTACTTAAGCCGGGAGGTTGAACAGACCCCTGGCACCACGTGTCACCGCTCAGCAGCCAGAGAGGAGGAGCGGGAGGGACAAAGAAAAGCAACAGCCCCCACCGGTGGAGGGGGGAAAAACACCATGAGTTTTGGGGCAGCAGCAAGCCTTGCCTGTTGCAGCAGGAGCAGGCACTCCAAATAGAGCTCTCCAACTCCTCCAGCCATCCCCTCCTATGCAGAGCGCACTGCGTTATCACCACCAGAAGCAGCAGCAAGGCTCCTCACGTGCAGGCTGGGCACGCGCTCCCCCAGCGTGTCCACCTCTGCTCGCGGCAACAGCCAGGAGCACAAGAGCTGTCGAGGAGCCTGCCTCAGCCCTACTGACACAAAGCTTTTCTTACTCTGAACACTTTGGAGAGGTTTCATTACTAAATGGTTGAAAGACACGAGGCTAAAGGGATCGGCCTAAAATTCATAAGGGATGGATAGCTGAGATGACAGAGCAAAGCCAGGATCTCTCTTGCCCGCCGGGTTTCTTCTAAGTAATAACATATATGAGATTTTTCATGCCTTTATATCAATCACCTGAAGTTGTAGAGGCAACGCATTTAAGATAACCCCCCAAAGTCCAAAATATGGACAGCACCCCCTGCTTGCCTCAGCAGAAGTTGTGTTATCCAAGAGATTACTGCTGCTCAAACCAATGAGGGCTTTGAAACACCTGAATCACCATGCTCCTTGTGCAGCATGAAATCACCGAGCTTTCACCAAAACCACACAAACAACAGCATTAGCAAACACAGGGTCAGTGGGCAAACACAGCCCGTGGCCATTGCCAGGCCAAGGGAGAAGAAACAGGGAGGCGACACAAACCTGCACCACAGCAACGCCCCTTCTGCCCACTCCTGAAGTCACCACTCAACCCTGGAAACATTTTTACCCATGAGGGTGCATAGACACTAAGGACAGAAGCTACAAGAGTTGTTTTTATCTTGGAAAATACTAAATGCTGGTATATATATATATAAAAATACACAAAGCTGGGTATCGCGGATGCTTCCGCCATCAAGCCGAGCAGAACAGTCATTTAACCCCTTACAGGAGCTCTGCACGGGGATGTGCCAGGAGTGCGGAGGCTGCCGGCACGGCAGCATGAAAGAAGCAGCCAAGTTCTCCCATTTATGACAGCCAAATAAGAAAAGGAAGCTTCCAGACAGCCTCTGCACCAGCACCCGTGGCACCGCCATCACAGGCTATGTCCTTGGGCAGCCCCGTGACCACCTGCCTGGGCTCTGCAGTGGCAAAGGGCCGCTTGCCCCTGGGCCAGGAGGGGCAGTGTGGCCGCAGCAGCTCCCCACCACCTCGGCCAGGCCTCCTGCAGGCTCCCCCCGCAGCCGGGGCCCAGGAGAGGCAACCCCACACTGCAGGGGCCGCGGCGCCTCCTCTGCCCCCACTGCCCACGCTGAACCAAAAGGCTGCCAGAGCAGCAGGGCTGAGTGCTTGGGCCACGCGCGGACGTCACCTACGGAGCAGCCAGCCGAGCCCATATACTCAGGAAAGGAAATCCTCCTCCAAAATGGCTGAGGTGGATTTTCCTTCCTTCACACTCCGCTAAAAATCACAACATGCCTCTACTCTGCAAAGTTTTATTTGATTCTCTGGCAATCTCACTATCAAACCGTCTCTGCTGCGGACTGCCTGGTGAGAGATGGTGTAGCACTCGTTTCTCTTCTTTAAGGAAAAAAAAAAAAAAAAGGTGCTCTACTGGGGACCATAAGACTACAAAATATTTTTAAACTGGGGGCTCTCTGGCCTCACTTCCACGATTCAAAGCTTCAATATCTCTTCCAAAATCTCACACGCTCGAGAGGAGGAGGGCAGAACCAACCACTCTCCTCTGCAGAAGACACGAGTATCCCGCAGGCTCATGCTTAAGGACGGCGCCGCTTTCACAGCTCACTGGTGGGGGAGAGGCAGGTGGGAGGCGCGGGGACATCTGCCAGCTCTAAGAACAGCGCTCGGCTCTACATGGCGCAGGGCCTCCTCGCACTGCTGCCAGGCTCTCGCCTCGGCCCCTTGGCACATCTGGAAGCCGAGGCCATTCCTTGTGGCCTCCCCTGAAGTGCATGGAGAAGCAGCACGAAGCAGGACGCTGACACTGAGACAGCTTTGTCCGCCGAAGCTCCTGGCGATAGAGAACCGTGCCAGGTTGCTCCTGCATCAGCTGCGGGCTCGCAAAACACCTCCTTCCCTTCTCTGAAGATGATTCTGGACACCTCCTAAACCAAACATCCCGTCCTGGCGGTATGTCTGAGTGCGCTGCATGCCCTCCACAACCTCTGCTTTGCCCCTCACAGCCTCAGTGGCAGCCTTGAAGGAGCACTCAGGTTAACATACACTCCTGGGATTACAGTTTTCTCCACCTGCCTTTTTTCCCCCCCTCTTTCTCTCCAAAGGTTCCAAGCCACCTCTCACCCTTCTCCTATACCCTCAGCAAAGCTTTAAAAACTGCTTTTAGGTAATAGAAGAATAAAATGTTCCCTGGGACACCATGCTGAGCACATCACAAACACACATTAAAAAAAATAGATGCTGCGGTGACAGATGTCGAGACTCTCTGGAAGATGTTTTGATGTTTTGATAAGAATATGTGTTGAGTCTTTCATTTACAGGGCAATCTTAGGACTTTATCTAGAGCCATATTGGACAGACAACTGTAATTTAGAGCGTACTATATTCCTAACAGTTCCCCAGTTATAAACTCCTTCAGCTTTAACTTATAGTAACCACAACTTTTTCTATTTTGGAAAGCTCAAAACTCCATTTCTCCCCTTCACTCAGCTATCGTCTATTAAGAGCCTCCACTGCACACGCAGAGCCTGGCTGGCGAGGGGGCTGAACACAACAGCCCACGTGTGCCCCATCTTCAGAAGCAGGCGCAGGCTTCTTTCTTTGACCACACGAACCATTTGCTCCGCACACAAACGTTGATTTGTTTCCTTCGGGAAGGGGAGACGGGGTGGGAATGGGAAGCGCATCAGCGCCTCTCGCCAAGCCGGCCCTGCTCGCTCGGCGTCTTCTGCCCGGAAGCAGCAGAAGTGGCTGCCTGGCTGCAGCCGCCCGCGCGGCGCCGCTGTACCGCGGCCCGCGGGGCACTTCCCATCCTGCCCACAGATCACACGTGCTCCAGCGTGCTCCCTGCTCCTTGACCTCACCCTTAGTTGTTTTTTCTTTTAAAAAAATTAAAAATAAATCAGGGACAGGCATTCCCATTAAAACAAAATCTCCATCTGAAGAGAATCATAATTTCATTATTCTTTTTGTATCTCCCCCCAAATGATGCACTTGTGTAAGAAATATCGGAATTGATGGCTCTGCAAGCAATGCTACTGACATTATACATTTCTGCAAGGAACAGAAGGAGCAGATGAACAAAGCCCCCGTCTTTGTGCAAGTAGCATAAGCCAAGAACAGCAGAGACAAAGCGAGCATGGTGTATACAGAACCGTCTCTGAGGAGCCTGCTTCCCAGCAACTGCCATAAGGTGGCAGTGGGTCTTTAAGGCTACCTTATACCTTTCCCACAAGCACAATAGGAAATTATCAGAGTGGTTTTCAGCATCTGAAACTGTTTAAGTGAAATTTCCTAATCAAGGGAGCCAGACCATGCATGAAAACTTGAGGCTGAAATTAATTCAATGTCAGAATCGCACAGAGGAAAAGCCAACAGGACCAATCCTGAAACACTAGAAATGCAAGCCTGCCTCTGAGCTAAAGAAAACCAAAACCTTTTACTTAGGTTGTACAAATACAGTGCAGTTTTACATAAATGCCTTTCTTTATGCCTTTCTTTATGCACCCATGCAGCCACAAACAAACCAACGTCCATTCAAACTGTGTCAAGCTACAGAGCAGCAGGAGCCCGAGGCTCGC